TACCATAGCCATCGACTACGTTACTTATTTTTTCTTTTCTCAGTAGGCTAGTCTTGAAAGCCTATTTATAAACGAAAAAAAGAAATGAAAGGTATTCCAGCATCAATCGAATATGGTCGTCTTCGAAACCCACCTATTCTGTATATCTCCACAACACTGTTGCCTCAAGAGATTAATTAGGACTGAGCTATTATTTGTACATACAAATCATTTTGCATCTATCCATAAGGTTCTGTTTTTATTTAGTTGTCAAGACTGAAACCATTTGAGGTAATCTTGTAGCTTTTGCATGAATGACCAACATTTCTAGTTATGTTGTCTTCACCAGAAGCCCAAAGAGGATGTTTCGTCTACTGCATCAATCTGTATGGGAATTAGGCTTTCTCTTCTGGTGGGATCAGTTTCACTGACACCTTCATCTCGTGACTGGGCTTGGCTGGCGGGATGTGTTGGCATTAACATGTCTGCATTCGAGTCCCGGCTGGTCAGTCGAAGTCGCTCCGCGGGGACCGTTGACTGTTGGTGACGGTCAGTAAAGTTAGCTGTCACACGACCAAAATGGACATGTATGCAAACTTTGGCCCATGACGCCACGTGAATAGGTAGCTCGACTGTCAGTTAAAACGGCATATCAGAAACGACCGGTCCTCGGGCGAGAACCCGACCTATTTGACAAGTGTTGCGGTGGGGGCGAGCAACAGGTAGGCGATTTTTGGCGCTAGCCTGACACACACAAGTCGAGGCTGGGCAAACGAATGACTCGTGCTATCGCAACCGGTTGCTAGGCTGGAGGGAAACTGCAAATGGTCTCGAGCACACACCCACCCACCCGTTCGCGCCCCAGCGCCCTCGTGTCTCCCACTGTAGCACAAGTACTCCTCGGCCGGACGACCTTTGTCTCGGCTCGCTAGTATTGACAGCAATCATACGATTTGTGATATCCACGTGCATTGTTACGACCTCCGCTTATCTCATGGCCTGTGTCAGACTCCCACTTGTGTCAAGAGCGTGTGTTCGTGTGCCTAGGCCGAGGGAGAAAGCAACCGACTGGAGGTGGGATGGGCAGTCATTGCATGAGCTCGCCCGGCCATAGCCGAGGGGTATCTGCCGACGTCGTGGCAACTGATTAGCCCGTCTGATAGACCACTACGAAAGCTGAAAACCAAGCCCCTGTTTGACTGATCTGACAGGCCTCTTCGGCTGGCACTTCACTGTCGCCGTCCTGCCTGCGTGTCCGTTTGCCGAGCATGATGGAAAGTTCGTTATGACTGACGTGAGAGCCTGAGCCTGTCTCGACCACTCTCGCCCATTTGATGGCCTGACACACACACACACACACACACACACGCCACACAAATAAGCAAAACTCTGGTTATACAAGCGGACAGGCTCCTTCGAATACACACACCCACAAACAAACAAACAAACATACATACACATGTATGCATTCATACGATTAAACATGCATACATTATATCATCCATCACTACACACGAATGCATACATTCACACACACACACACACACATGTACTTGCAGACAAAAGTTCATCAAATGAACTTGACGTGTGTTTGACATTACGCAACCAGCCATCATTGCTGCTGTCCTACACACGCG